TTATTTTGATATATCACAGTGAAAGATTTATCGTCCTCTTTTTTTTTTTTTTTTTTTTTTTTAAAAAAAAAAAAAAAAAAAAAAAAAAAAAAGGAAGTCGAGGAGTGTGGCTGGTGAATATGATCAAAATACATTGTTTAAAATTCTCAAGGAATTAATCAAAGTTAAATTGTTTAAAATTCTCAAGGCATTAATCAAAGTTAAATAGAATGCACCTTTCAAAGAATGCATTTCATGAGTCACAGGTACTATGCAGATAAAGGGTAAAGAAAGAAGAAATACAACGAGATGTTAGTAGGTGATTAACATTGGGCAGCAGATATATGAAAAAAATATCTTGCTTCCTGGTTTATATTGATATCCATTTTCTAAATTTTCCATCCAAAGCTTTGCAGTCTCTCTTCTTTATAATCAGGAGAAATGCATTAAAAAAGAAATGCTAGTCACGTCAGATGTTATTATTGTTGTTATATATCCGTGCTTTCTTGTGCTCTGCAAATCTAAGGCAGATTTCTATCCCTTTCTCTAGTCCCCTGGTGAGGAGGCACTTAAAGAGATATTTGATACCGAGATTAAAATGAGAATCTCATTGGAACAAATGATTTCTTCCTGGACATTCCTGCAGTATTAAAGTTCTCCATTACTGTCAACAGTTTTTTTCCCCCTCTTTACCCTTTTCAGCAATAATATAATTTTTAGAGGCTTTCATTTTAAAGTAAAATATTCATGATCCCCAAAGATATGTCTGTTGGAGCAAGAATGTTTGGTTATAGATATGTGCTCTCTGTTTATCTGCTCTGCCTTGCCTGTTCTTCCTTTTCAGGACTGGGGAGCAAAAGAAAAAGGATGGAGGGAAGAAATAGAGAACTGTAGTCCTGACTCAGGGCAGATCAAACAGTACAAGGAATGGCAGACTCCAGTGCCCGGCGGGCTGGCCTTGCCATGGGAGGATCAACAGTGGAGGCCAACCTCTGACAGAAGGGAGCTAAGTACTCTGATGAAGGCTGTTGAAAGAGGCCTTTCAGAGGGGAGGAACCTCTGCGTGCCAAGTACTTTATAAAACTCTCTCAACTACCCCTCCTTCCATCACTGAACATCCCTCAAAAATGGCCGTCACTTGGCCACTTGGTGCTCCTCGTCCATCCTTGTCCCTGACTTATTTCGGATTCACACCTGGAAGAGAAATTTCTGTAGTGAAATGTTAGGTTCTTGACATGGAAGCCATGGGCTATATGATTTCCAGTTCTCCTACCAAGTACAGTATGGATTTCAGCATACAGCTGGATCTTGATAGCTGCCTGTTGCCCGACTGGCATGCTTCCTTCCATCCTTGACCATGAACACATTCCTGCTTCTCACTCTACTCATGACCATCATCAGACCCTCTATACCAGTTTCCTATCAAGGAACAAGAGCTGGAGCAAAGGAGCCAGAGACAATAGGAATTTTTCTTGGTAATACATTTTTTAAAAAATTTTATTTATTATTATTGTTAATTTTTTTAAAATATGGAATGCTTCATGAATTTGTGTGTCACCCTTGTGCAGGGGCCATGCTAATCTTCTCTGTATCATTCTAATTTTAATATATGTTCCCGCTGAAGTGAGCACTTATTTATTATTGTATTTTTTGTCTTTTTTTTGAGACAGGGTCTGGAACTCACAATATAGACCAGGCTGACCTTGAACTCACAGAGATTCCCCTGCCTCTGCCTCTGGAGTACTGGGATTAAAGGTGTGTGCCACCATGCCCAGCTTATTTATTGTCTTTATTTGTATGTGTATGAGTGTATTGCCTGCATGTATTTAAATATGCCCGTGTTGTTGTGCAATGCCAGCAGAGATCAAAAGAGGGCACTGGATCCCCCGGAGCTGGAATTATGGATGGTTGTTAGCTGCCATGTGGGTGCTAGGAACCTGTGTCCTCTGCAAGAGCAGTCAGTGTTCTTAACTGCTAAGCCATCACTCCAATCCCTGGTAATACATTTTTTTTAAAGAATCTCTTGAACCATAACAGTTCCTTTCTAAGGAAACTTCCAAACATCCCTGAACCACTACATACAATCATAACAGTCTATAAGTAGCAGAGAACCACAGTAAACCAAATATTTTGTACGCATGATCTTCAATCCTCACCACATTCCTGCAAAAGAACTGTTATACCCTATTAGATCAGGGTGAGAAAGTGAGGCTCAGAAATGAAAGATGTCCAAGTACACACAACAGCCAACTACGGGTCAGGGGTCTTTAAAGAAAAAACCCTCCCATAGACCATGGAAAGAAATGTCAGTTCTCAGGGATGATGAACTCCCTCCTCATCACTGGGAGTATCCAAAGAGCTATGTCACTCAAGAGGGATATTGTAGACTTAATGCCTCATCAGCAGAGAGAATTCAACTAGATGCCCCATGTCAGCTCAGAATTTCTATGATTTTAGAAAGAATAAAACTTAGGACAGCATAGAAGTGTCCAGGCATACTTTATAAAGCATTTTGTCATTTATGGTTCCATTTGATCAACATCTTCTTTGAAATGGGACAAGTCTAGGGGGTGATGGAAGATAGGAGATAAGGCATCTACTTTGGAGCCCCCACACACAAAACTTAATCCCTGATGTTATTTATGTACTGGCCATGAAACCTTGGAGGAATATGTGGCCACTTATCCAGAAGAAAGCAGAACAGTAATGCCCTTGCAAGATGACATGAGCTAATAAACAGAGAAAGCTGTGCCACTCAAGGACACCTTCAACCATGTGGGTTCTCCTTTGTCTGTGCCATTTTGAAAGAAAGACTCATGGAAGTTAGACCATTTGCCTTCTGTGTCTCAGAGTTTGAAGGTGATTGGGATAGCTGCCGTATCATGGCAGGATCATATGTACAGGACAAATCCTCTCTAAGTGAAAGAACCCAATTATTCTTTAGGGTGGCCATCCTCCCTGGCAGTGGACACAACCCAACTACTCTATCACCAAGTCGGAGTCAAGGCACACACACCTTAGGAAAGATCCTCTTTCCCCAGTCCCAACAAAACAGTGACAGAGGATCAGGAAAGACCTAAGGAAAATCAGAAAGGCATCTTTGGATGAGGCAGAAAAGTCTGGATGTTCAAGAAAGCCTGTAAGATAGAGCTTGCTGGTCGGGAGGTGGAGGTTGGGGTTGGTAGGAGTGACAGGGTGCTAGTCATGAGGCTCTAGATCTAGTATATGCATTGCATGGCCCTGTGTCCTTACCTTACCCAGGAACCGGGACAAGTAATACTCACCTGACAAATGGTTTGGTGACCAAGTACAAAACCTAAGTAAGCTTTGTAGCTCTGGTACTTTCAAGGGAGGGAAACTCTCAGTTGAAGAGTCCACTCATTTGACTTTAGAAGGACTTTTAAATGAACAAAGAAAAACAAAACACTGAAAGTATTACAATAGAAAATTGTCAGGAGAGTGAAAAGTGGTTTGATACTTGGATACGGATGCAAATGCCTCACTAAGAAAGGCTGGAACCCTCCCATAGCCTCTCCCACCTCACTGGAACCCATATACTCTGTCATTCCTGTTACTGCCCACTGTGTTGTCAGTGCCCCCAGCCGTTCCCCAGTGCTTGAGATGTTCTGTATAAAATACACACACACACACACACACACACACACACACACACACACACACACGAAAGATTTACTAAAAAAAGGGCCAGAAAAGGTTATTCTTGGTTTCAGGAAGGTACCTCTCCTATAATTTGGTCCTAGTCAATAATCTGGGGTCTCCTTAAGCCCCTCATTGTTCATAGCAGGAGCCAAAGACAGGGTAGATGCCACTCTCACCCCATCCCTCCTGAAGGAGGAGTCTGGCTAGTCTGCTGTGTCCTGGCTTTGTTAGGACTGATAAGCACCTGGAGCCAGGTGAGTGGTGTGGTTGTAATCCATGAGCCTGCAGAGGTCTGCAGAGTGTCTTACCAGTGAGCAGCTCCAGGTCTGGGAGGGGCTCAGAGAGGACTCCCCGGCATTGCTCCTCCACTGGCAGTGGGATCACCAGCAGCCCGTCAGCGAGCTGAGGAAAGTCCTTGATGAAGTTGTTCTCCCTGTGGAGCAGAGCAGAGAGAGTTCCAAGTAGAAGGAGGGAAAGTACTGGGTGCAGCCAGGTAAGAAAGCAGGAAGCATACCCTTGGAGTAGATGCATGGCTGGATGACCTTGCTATGATGCTGGCTTCCCGAATCCCAGCTCTGAGACATCACAGTACTGACCATAGGGTGCAGCATCAGAAAGGCTAGGGATCAAACCCTGGTACGGGCTGTGTGATCTTGAGCAATTTATTGCTTCTCCTTGTCTATAACGAGGCTTAGAATCTCAGGGATTCTATAAGCCCTTAATGGAGTAAAGTTACCAACTGTTTAAGACATTCTCAGATGCTCTATAAACTGTATATTTGGCTGCATAAGCAATAACACCAGTAAACCATGGTGTGTATGATGGAACTAAGAACAACGTGGTTTGTTTGAAGAAGGGGGTAAGGCTAAGTGGACAAAAGCAAGGTGTGGAAAAATGCATGTCTGTGAAGGTGAAAGGACCTGTGAGACACTGGCTCAGACTCCTTTTTGGACAGGTGAGGAGGCTGAAGTCTGGAGAAGGGGGATGACTTGCCTAACAACAACCTATAAGGTAGACTCAAACTCAGGTCTCTTGGCTCCCAAGCTAGTGCTCTTTGTCCTTCCCTAACTTATAGGGACCTCCCTCTTTGGGATCACAAGACAGATCCCTTGGTGACTCTGGAATACTGAACCTTGAACAGATATGGTTCAAGAGAACAGTGTTGACATTGAAGAAGAAAGACTTCATTATTCTAGACAACCTGAAGATGGTGCATCCAGCCGAAATGGTAAGCTTGCTGTTACTAGGGCAAGCAGAAAACGTGACAGCTAGTTGGAAAGGACGGTATCAAGGGCATTTCCCTATTAAACCTGACTTTTGAGGGCACGTCATTTCAGACATCCTCAGGGTTAGAAATGCTAATTGTCATCTGGAGTGGGAGGAGGAGAGGGTGGAAAATAAGAAAAGGTGGAAGAAGTTTATCATTTCATTGCGCCACCTGGCATGGTCAACCTTGAAATGAGAATCAGAGACAAATGCAAAGCTGCATGATGCCCAACAAAGGCCTTTGAAGCCTAGACTCCAGGCAGTTCTGAACAGCTGTGAAAGTGTCAGGTGGGCCACCTTCCTGTCTTCACTCCACATCTCCACACCTTTCCCCAGGCAACTTTGAAGCTCATCACCAATTCATTCGTTTAGTGAAAATATTCTCCAGGTCTGAGACCAGCAAAGGTGACATTATCTCCGTCTTCAGTATCTCCAGTATCACCATCATCCTCATCACCTCCTTTCTTCTTCACTGTCTGGTTTGCTAGGATCTAAGTACTTTACATATATCTTAACATTTAATCTTCACTGTCTTTAGATGGTATTCAGTCTAAATCACAGGACAAATAATGATGATATTCTAGGTTGCTGAATAGGATTTGAACGAAGGTCTAGCAGAATGTGGGCCACAGTTTAGGGAGTGCATGGTGAGTTTCTAGGCCACCCTTGCTATTTAAGCATGCTATTTTGTATGTGCCCCATGTCTAGCTGCAGAATAATACTTTTCATGTGAGCATGGCTTCCACTCACAGGAGGTTCCTCTTGAGTCTGTCTGCATATCTGGGAGCACGAAGCAGCACTGCGAATATAGAGGCTGGCCTGTCCACAGGACAGAAACAACACCATACAGCTCTGCAACACCGGTGAGGTGGCTACCCGGGCTACAGAGCAGTGAGATGGAACTGTATCCTAGGCCCTAGTCAGCAATTTTCATATGCTGGGCACATAGCCCTTGGTAGAAAACTATAGACAAAGACTGGCTTCATCCCTTGTCCCCCAGATCTTCCCAACCTGGTTGTTGAGACACATTGGCCATGCAGTGCATCCAGAGTGCCCGTTGTCAGAAATTATGCGGGGCGGGGAGGGGCTGAAAGAGTCCCTTTCTCATGTGACACCACCAAGCACTTGTTTTCTAAGTGGGAGAGACAAATCTTGAGAGGGTGGTGACGGCTCTGAACACTGGGCTCCAAATCTCTCCACATGGCATCCTAGTCAAATAACCTGGAACAAAGCTCACAGACCTCAATTTCTCATCTGTAAAATGGGAATCACAAAAGTCTCTCAGTCTGCCATGGTGCAGTAGTGAGAACGACTTTATACAGTTGCAAACACTTCAACAGCTCTGTGAAGTAGGTACTGTTAAAATCCCCAGTGCAGA